CTGCTGAAGAATTGTGTGACCTTGACGTGAGCTAAACAGAATTGCTAAAGTACAAGCATATACAAACCTATGTCTGTATGGATGTGAGTAGGTAAATAGCCCCCTCATCCAGGAAGCCATCCTGGGTCACTGGTCCTCCCCACCCCTCCCCTAAAGGCCCACAGAGTGAGTTCAATTCTCTCTCCTCTGTATCCCCACAGAGCACTACTCAGTAAATGGGTATTGGATGCATGAAGGAGTGAGTGTAAGAATGATCATTGGCACAGCAAAATCAATAGACAGAGCAGCCAAATAAGACTACAATTGACTAAATTTAAACAGGCTTAGACATGCATCACCTGTGAACTTCAGGAATCTCCCCACTCCTTGTCCTTCCTTGGCTCCCCAAGGCCCAACCCTGCCCTCAAGTATTTTTAGAACAAAACAACAAAAAGATAGGAAGAAGACTGTGGCAGGAAGAAGGTGGCAGCATTAATATTTTGAACAAGGCTGCAAGGAATTTAAAAGCCGGACCTCCCCCACTAACGTTTGTTTCCTGCACATAAACAGGAACACCACGCAGAGTCACTGGCACTTATTTTTAGAAAAAAAAAAAATCTGAAAGATTTAAAAGCAAAGAAAAGCACCCTCAGGCTGGTTGTAGACCAACGTTTCTACCTGAAGCAACAGAGTCAGCTCTTGAGCATCAGTGTCCTGTGAGGGCGCTGTTGCAGGCCTACCTGAGCTGGAAAGAACCAGAAGAAAAGGCTGCTGTTGTAAGTCTTATTCACAGTGATGTAGCCGGAATAACTTGTCAAATTCCATCCTGGGAAAGGAGCCACTGAGCTCAACCGTCTCCCTAGTGGGGGAAAAAAATTTACCCGAGGATTAGACAATAAATACGGGGTGAGCCATCTCCATCTTGGCCAGACTTCTCCCAGGGGCCAGGTCTGGAATGAAGTGATCAGAAAGGCTACAAGGGGATTGGTATAAAGGTGTTTACTGGTAGCAACTTCCAGCCTGCCCTGGCCAGTTCCACATATTCAAAATTCACCATTTAGCCAAGGGCAAGTGACATTTTAAACCTTTTTTTTTGGTTCATATCTTATGAACTATAGTAAGATTTTTTTTTCAGAAGAAGAGAAAATCACCTATCCTCAGCTCCACTCTAAAGAGTAAACCAAGGTGTTCACATGGGGCCACCTGGAAGGCCAAGGCAGGATAAAGTCCCCTAACCCCAAAAGGTGGGGGGCGGTGAAAAAGAAATAACAGCTAAGGAGCTCTCAGCCTGGGGGAGGCCTGTGTTCTCCACACTCTTCTTGTGGTGAAAGCAAAGGGCCTGCCACTTCCGCTAAGGGAACTGGACCAGGCATGTGGGGAGTAAGAATGACTGGGGCCGGCTGTGGAGGGTGGGGAGAGGCAGGCAGTGAGACTGTGGGTGATCACGTGGCTACTCAGAAGGAGCCAAATAGGACAAGGGGCAGCTGTAGAGGGCAGAGGTCCTGGTTTTCTAAGGGCAGCAAAAGGACAGGGACAGGGAGGAGGAAAGAGGGAATGCTCAGAGACATGAAGCACCCAGGAGTAAACAATACTAATATCAATAGAACTAACACCTACAAGGCCACTATACCAAGGGCTTTACATTACGTGGTAGGTATAATTATTATCTCCACTTTACAGATGAGAAAGCTGAAGCACAGAGAGGTTAAGTAACTTGCCCGAGGTCACACAGCTAGCAACGGAGAGCTGGGATTTAAACCCAGAAGTCAGGCTGCGGAGTTAGCCCCTGCCCCTACCCTGCTCCACGGCATATCAGCTAGAGAGTTAGTCAAAAGGTATGAGAAGCAGGGAATGGAGTGGGAAGCAGTGATTAGGAAAGGAGTGGAGAAGGAACAGTAAACAGGTAGGAAGCAGGGTGTGGTGGGGAAGTCTGGGTGAAGAAGAGTCCTTTAGGGGGAACAAAGCAAGTGTCCTCAATAAAAACAAAATTGTTCAAAAAAAGCTACTTAAGTCTGAGACTTATTAAGTTGGAGACTGTTCAGTAGACAGTAGGTAAGGAAGCTCGATCCTACTCATGTGCCACCAACTAAAGATGTCTTCAGTGGGGTACCAGAGCCCATGGGCTCTGGAGTGCTAATTGACATCTCTTCCCAACTCGGCGTTCAGTGACAGCACAGATAGGATGCAGGAAGCCATAGTGTCAATGTGAATACTGATTTGTCCACCCTGGGCTTTGTGTGAGGATCAAATGAAAACATGCATATGACCCTTGAGCACAGAGATGGACATAAAATAAGGGCTCAGGCAAAGAGAGGGATGATTCTCATTAGCCTGTGGGCCACCCCAAGAATAGTCTAGAAGACCTTGCCTTTTTGGGGCTCAGTCCAGTTCCCCCAGGAAAGATTGTTTATTCCAACCTCTTTACCTCTTCCGCATTCTCTTCCCAATGAGATCTATCCCTCCCCACCAAAACAAAACAAAACAAACAAACAAACAAAAAGGCAAAGAACAAAGAAAGATTTTAAGGAAAAGAAAAGGGAGATGTTTGGGGGAAAGTGGTATGTGCCTGCCTTTCCCATCCCCCACCCTTCCCTCTTCCCATCTTTGCTTCCACTCTCAATTAGCCTACAGAAAGATCACCTCCAGGGCTGGGCAGCCTTTGAAACACTTCTTTTGGCCATTTTTTTTTTTATTGAGGTGTAATTGACATACAACATGACATTAGTTTCAGATATATAAAATGATTGAATATTTTTATATGTTGTGAAATGATCACCACAATAAATCTAGTTAACATCCGTCATCACACACAGCTACAAATTTTTTTCTTGTGATGAGGACTTTTAAGCTCTACTCTCATAGCAACTTTCAAATAGCAAGACAGTATTATTAACTACAGTTACCATGCTGTGCATTACATCCCTGGAACTTATGTCTTTTGTAGCTGGTAGTTTGTACCTAAAACACTTCTGAAATATTTTTCACAAAACTATTAATCTTCTCAAAATCCAACAGAGATCCCCCCCAAAAAGGAGGGCAGAGAACCAAAGGCTGAAGCGTTGGGAATGAGTGAGATGTGAATCCCAGAGGGCTAAGTGAGCATTTGAGAAAGACAGAGAAAAATGAGAAAGGTCAAAGTAGAATGAGAAAAAGAGAAAACATATAACAGAAAGGAGCTGGAGGGAATGGACTGTGGGAGATGGGGTGATTGAATCAATCTATCTCTCTGAGACCAGCACAACACAGGGTCCACTGGCCTGCTCTGAAAATGACTCAGATGCTTACCCAGTCCTTCCTTTCTGAGCATTGTAAAGTTATTTCTCTGCTGCCTTGTACTGACTGAGGTTTACTTTCTACCTTCCCTCCTGGATCAGGGGCTATTGGGAAGCAGGGAATTTGTCTTGTTTATCTTTGTACCCCCAGGGACACAGTATGCTGGTTTATACACTTAAGACATTCGATACACATTTTTTAATGAATAAATGTGAATGAATGAACTAAAACATGACACACTGGCAATGCACTAGGATTAGCTTACTTCTACAAAAACCTCCTAAGGCAGGCAGGCCTTATTAAGATCTCAAGAAATTTAGAAAGACTTTCTCTGCCCCACAAAAAAGTGTTTCATCCTGCTTTAAATTTTAAATTTCCTTTAACTAAACCCCAGTAAAATAAAAGCTTTTTCAACTAAATTGATTTTTTGCATTTTCAAATGTCCCCGTTCATCCTTCTAGAATCTATTAATGGAATGTGGAAAATAAACTCCCAAGATGGAGGAGTTTCTTTCTTCCTGGAACCGTGACTCATAATACAAATGTTGAAAACAGTTGAAAAAAGGAAAAAGGTTTTCTTTGAAGCGATTTCACTTCCTACTTGTTATTTACTGTGGTTACCAGTGCTTGTGATACTAACACTTTCAAAAAGATTAGAGTATGACCAAAGAAGGGCTTGAACCAGTTAATCAGGCACTTCATATTTGCAAAGACTTGCATCATCATCAGGATGGACAGGACACTACCAGGCCATAAGTAATAATAAATTAAGACCTAATAGCAAAATATTCTTTAAAGTTGGTGAAAAGGCAGTGTCTGGAAACATGCTAAAACTGGCCTCCTACATTCATTTTGTTTCAGAGAGTGAGGATTTATTCTAGCTGCAGAGAAAGCAAACATGCAATTACAGTTGCATAAAACTAAGCCAGTTAGTTTATGTTGGGGATTTTTAAAAAATTAAAATTTCCCTTGTCTTTTTGTGAATTACTGTTTATCTCAAAAATGTTCCATTACGATATTAAGACTCATGTTCCTAAGATTCTGACAGACTTGATAAACAAAAGGGATTCAGCGGAGTGAGCTGACCATCTGTCCAGAGCTTCCTGAACTTTCAGTAAAGCGGATGAATACAATTATCCTTAATTGTGTTGTCAGAACTGCAGTTGAGTACCCAGATGTACCTGATTTTGGATTAGCCATTTAAAATTCTGTTCAAAGATTTTTGACAGAACTTTAGAAAGTGACATTACACCAGATTTAATATTTTAAATGTTGTCACTCATCAGATGGTGATCTATCAGGCTTAACACAAAAAAGGACAGAAGATAAAACTATCTCCCTCAGAATCTTTCTTTACTACTGCTGACACCCAGGACCGTGAAATGCTTGTAGGCGAGAAATCCAGGAACGGGAGGGATGTGGACAATCTCTCAGGCAGATTTCTCTGTATTCTTTGCACTTGTTCTATCAGATGTACGATTCAGAGACACCATGGCCACGTTGCCTTAATGCTCTGTTTAAGCTGTCTTACTCAGTATGCATAGGCCCTTTCTTATTTGCCCAAATCTTACCCTACACCCTCAAGTCTGGTCACATAGCACAGTGGTTCATACCTCAGGCTCTGGAGTCAGCAGAGATAGGTTTTAATTGCAGATCTGCCACTTACTACCTTTAAATGGTCCTGGGCAAGACACCTAATTTCTCTGGGCTTTAGTTTTCTCATTCGTAAAATGGGAACAATAAGTATTCATTTTTCATTAGAGTTGCTGTAAGGATTAAAAGAGCTAATTTGTGTAAAGCATAACGCCTGAAACATAGGTCTCAAATTTAAATTCTACAAATATTTATTGAGTGCCGTTACATACAGCCGTTGTGCCAGGTACTCGGGATACAATTACTACTAAATGTTAGCTATTGATTGATATTATTCTTACTACTACTACTACTTTCTATCTGGATTATGCCAATCAACAGGGATAGCTTCCTTCTAAAAATTTCCAGCATGCCTTCCTCAAATGTAATACTTTAGAACTTTAGTATGCATTGCCTGATTCCTTAATTGTTTCATGTGTGTGCATCTGGTCACTCCAAAAGAGGACAAGCTTCTTAAACAAAGGAAAATAAATTATAGCAGGTGAATTACAGAGCGCAGGTCAGAAAATTTGGGTCTTAGACCCATCTCTACTACTATTACCTGTGTTCCCTTGGGCAAGTCATGTAAAATATTTGAGTCTCAAATTCCTCATCTGTGAATTGGCAGGGTTTGGTTATGAGTATTTAACTCCTTTTCAGCTCTAAACGAAATGATTTGCTTTGATTTACTGTGAACAAACATAATCTAAGTCATCAGTATCCATGGAAGCCAAAAGGAAGGCATATGACCCAGTCTGGTGGATTTGGGTTAATGATATTTTTTTGCCTTTTCATTTATGCCTAGTGATATCAGCCTGTGCCATTGGGCTACCATCTTTTCATGACTTTTCTAAATCAAGCAAAAATGACTCTTTAAAAACAAAAAGATTACACAGCCTCACCACATTATCACTGACCATATTATCAAAGTTTTTCAACTTTTCTTAGAAAAGAGATGGTGAAACATGGAGCCAATGTATATTTCAGACAAAGATATATGAGCAGGACTCCAATGCACCCTTAAGAGGGGAGAATATTTTGGTTTTAAATCAAACCAAAGACAAAAATGATGACAGCCTTTTGACTATGAGAACTAAAGAAAAGTTGCTTTATTTTCAACTTCCATACAGAGTATATACCTTTATTTTAGATCTTTAAAATGATCACTTCCCTAAAATTTCCAGTTTCAGTTCCACATTCCCACGAAATCTACCAACTTATCAGCCTCACAAGCATTAACTCTGCCTTCCCACCTGTGACTAGGGATAAACTCTGAAGCAAACACCAAGATCTCCATCCATGGATACTCATCTCCTTCAAGAAAATGTTCCACAACAGACGTCCCACACCAATCAACTTTCCCCTCTCTACTGGACTATTTCCATCATTATCTCCTACCCTCTGTAACTCTCTTCCTGACCCTTCCTGACTCCATAACTCCCTCCAGCCACCACCCCATTTCTCTGCTCCCTTTTACAAACAGCTCTGCCTATATACCAGTTTATAGTTCAGGAGTGTCCTGAGGTCCAGAGAGATTACATAATTGATCCTACACAGTGATTTACCTAAGCATGGAGAAGCATTAAGGGCAGAGGCACGTCATAATTTTTAGTCTCTGATGACATCACAAGACACTTTTTTTGTATTAATAATAGAAAAACCCACAAACTCTAAATAAAAGCCATCAGCAAACACTAATATTTAGAGAGCAATTTACAGGTTATAAAGAGTTTTCACATGCATTTCCTCATATGATTCTTTTAACATCCCTGAGACTTGGGTGGGTTGTTTTTTCTCCATCTTATTAATGAGGAAACTGAGTCCTAGGATGTTCAGGTAACTTACCAGGCAAAGGGGCTCAGCACAGTGGCTGTGAGCTTAGACTTTGGAATGAAGCTGTCTGGGTGTGAATCCTGCATCTACCAGCTGGTGTCTGTATGACTCTGGCAAGTAACTTCATCTCCTTCTGCTTTAGTTTTCTTGTGTGTAAAAGAGATGCACTTCCTGGCTTGCTGCGATGCTAAAATGATTTTTATATCAAATGCTTGGAAGCAGTAACTGACACGCAGTAACCAATTGTAGACAGGCCCTATATTAGTTTTATAAGTAGATATGCAGGGACTCAACCACTGGTTAATCTGACCCTGTTGAACTTGCATTTTAGCTCTAAACTCTGATACTATATGACACCAAATCATTAATATTTGAAATAAAACAATTGAGTAAAATACTAGAAAGTATTTTGGATCCTGTGAGACAACTGCTAAAAAAAACCCCAACTGTTGAAACTATACCAGTGGTTTCTGATTTAAACTTACCTTCTGCAAACTTCCCTGCTTCAATATAAGGAGTTAGAAATAATGGCTGTCCTGGATCTCCCTTATGTGGTGTGGAAACATGGGCGTTTCTGTATAAGGAGCGAAACAGCCCATCACCACCAGGGCTGAGCACCAACAGGGCCAGCAAAGCAAGCGCCTTCCACATGGTACCAACCGTTCTGTCTAGACCTAGGATGGAAACAATAACATTCCACAAATAAATACAGAGTAAATATTTACCAAGCCCCTTTACACACAAGACATTCATTTAGTTACGCAAAGAAAAAGAAAAAAATAAAGCTCTTTGCTAAGTACCTTAGATACAACCTAAATAAGATAGACCCAATCCTTGCTCACCCTGAAATTAACAGTCTAATGGAAGGCTATTCAAGGGATTTACAATGCAACTAAAGAAACGATTTATATTTCTAAAACTGTGGTCTGGAAAGTAAATTTGATGAAGGATTACATGAAGCATCAAGACAACAGGGACTCTGTAAATAGATCATGAAATGAGTGGGAGAGACAGTCATCTGCTACAGGCAGAGGACTGAGAACACATTTCAGGCCAAGAGAACCTAGGAAGGCCTTACCAAGGTCGGAGGTGAATAAAAGGTGGGTGGAACTCAGCTAGGCAGAAGAAATGGGGAAGGCATCATTGGTGGGAGGCACAGCTTGAGAAAAGGTGAGACTTGAGTTGTCCCTGGGCATTTTGCATGTGATTTCTGGTCACCTTTCTATCTCTTACAAACCACTAAACTTTGCATCCAAGAAAAAAAAGAAAGAAAGAGAGAGGGAGGGTCCTACAACAATTTTCAGGCCCCTGCCCCTATAGCTAGCTGACAAATGAACTCAAGAGTTAGACTTCACACTTTATTAACACAAAGCTTTCCAAGGATCTTCCACTCTGATGTTTGCTTAGAGTATTCATCTGAGCTGATAATAATAATGGCGTAATATTTTACGGTGATTTCTCAAAACTTGTAAACACATAAATTCTATTTACAATGGGCTTTCCCATGTATTTTTAGCTGATATGAACATCCTAATAAATCAAGCAGGAAAGCAAGGATTATTATCATCAATCTTAGACAAAGAAAACTTGACTCAGAGGAGGGCCTTATCCATGGACATCAAAGTAGAGAAATAGGAGCTAGTATGCAAGCAGGGCTGGGACCTGGGTAAGGTGAGTCTGGTGCAGATGCAGGGTGGGAACTCATCTTTTTTTAAATTTTGAGACTTTGTCTATCGTGGGGTTTTTTGGTACTATTTTTGATTTTTTCAAATATTGCATTAAAATACTATGTATCTTGATTACTGAGTTTTTTGGCACTGTTAAATTTTATATCCAAGGCAGGCACCTCACTTGCTTCCCCTTAATCCTGACTCTGCTAAGTGTTATAATGCCTACATCAGTGCTATTACATTACTCTGCACTGCTGCTAGTTAAATACTCTGCTCACTCAGATTTCTGGATGCAAAAAGAAATATACAATTTATGCAAATATAATGTCTGCTTTTGACTGTTTAGTGCTTTAAAATACAAAGCCACTAAAATACCTTAAAAACTCAAAATGTGTAGAAATCTATTAATCCCATGCTTATCACAACCCAACTTGGCATAATAGGAAAATATTGCTTGTAGAAAATTTAAAAGTCCTTTCAGCCACATTTCCCCAATAAGATAAAAGTTTATAATTATAATTTGATTGAATACATAATCCTTGTCAAGTCTTTCATGGTTAACTTAATAGAACCCCCCAGACTTAATGTAAACAAGCCCAACCAAATAGAGTAGGTAGCTAAAAAATGCTTTTCTGTATTATTTACTATAATAAGGAAAAAAATGAATTTAGAAACTAAATTTAGGTTCCCAAGAAGCCCAAGGGTAATTTAATGATCACTATGGCACTGATAATACGTTTTTTTAAATTATGAGAACTTGTTACGCTAACGTTTTACTAACAGCTACTTTCAAGGAATGCTTGAACCAACAATCTTACTCTCTAACAGGTTCGCAGGGAAAAAAAAAAATCTGTGGTATTAGAAACATATTGGCAGAAGCTCTTCCATTAAGAGGTTTTTTCCCGTGGGCAGAAACAAGAAACTAATCATACCACCTAATTTCTCAATCTTTCTGCTGCAAACATCCAGCCCCCGTTAATGGAAGTCATTAATATTAAAATAACCAGGGTAGTTACCTTCTTCTGTAAGCAGATGTTGATTCAAAGATGTTAAAGACAGAAAGGTAAAACCAGTCTCACTTTAACTGACATAAATCTAACACATAAAAGTAAGAGTTGGGTCAATTTAGGATCTCCCATTGACATTTAATCAAATAACTATTACAGTCATGGTTTCCCATGTAAGTGAATTAAACCAACAACATGCTTCATTTCACTGTTTCATTTAATGGTCAGAATTCCTGAACTGCGCTTAGCTGTCATCTCTCCTAATGAAAATGAAAGCCATATCATGAACGGAGAAGTGTTTCTTTTTTTTTAACATCTTTTACAAATGTTTTTGCCTATCCTAAATTAGCCAGAATCTTTTTATTATTGAATATTTATTGAGTACTTTCTAAACTAATCAACCCTGTACTGGAAGTTATTGCCCACAGAGAGTGAAAAAAAAAAGTATTAACCCTATACTGTATCACGTGTCTACTTGAAGTGATATGAAAACATGCGTGCTATTTCCAGTTCAAATACATTCTACTGAAGGATTCAGGCAAAGTGTTCCTCTTAATAAATGTTCAGAAACAGAATAACATCTAGGCAGATACAAAACAATATTGGCAGACTCAAATAAGCTAAAGGTCAAAACCATGTGATTCACTAAAACTGTCTTACTAAGCCTTAAATATTACAATTGGAAATCATGTGTCTAATGTAAATTTTTTTGATATAAACAAAGCTATTTATCACAGTGTTATTTAGAATAATAAAAACTGTCAACAATGTAAACAATTTAAGATAAGTAAGTTACTGTACATCAAAAAGATGGAATTATATACAGCAATTAAAATGACTACTGAGAATGTTTTGGAAAATATACTAAAATGTTAGGTAAAGAAAAGCAGACTATTAAAATAGATGTATGGTATTTTCTCCTTATTTAATACACTTAAGAATTTCTAAATTTTCTACAATAATTAACCTTATAATTAGAAGAAAATTATTTTCGGTTTTGCTTTTTTATCACACAGTGAAGCAACTGGTAGGCATGGCTTTTTCCTTATTCCTTATTACTACCTGGTTATGACCTCTCGCGTTTCCTAGGAGTAAGAGTTCTGTCTGTTCTTTTAGAATAAGTTCTGCTCTAACATTCTGTGAAGATGTGTCCTGATCTCCTAAAACTATAGAACCTCAGAGACTCAAAGTAAAGTTTGTCTTTGGTGAATTAGAAGGCTCTACACTAATGTGAGATGATGTTCTAATAATAATTACTCTTATTATATTTATATTTAGTTCTGCCTAGAGTAGATTCCATAACAAATGTGCATATAATTGGTACTAAGCAAATATGTGTTGAATTGGTGGGTCTAAATAGTGAATCATGGTATGTTAGACATATGGGCGATAGTACATGCTCATATGGTTCAATTCCTTCATCTCACAGACTAGACAACTGAACAACTAGAGAAGTAAGCAAGTAACTTATAAGTAAGATTACACCACTGGTGAGCAGTAGGACCAAGACTCAAAGCCAGGACTCACTTATGGCTCTAAATCTAATCTGCTTTTCACTCTCCCATCTTTGGTTATGATTATATATATTCAAATATTTTGACTCTTATTGTCTCAGTAGATAGTAACAGTCTGTTATAGTCCTAAACCCCTTTCATTAGATCATTAGAGCATGCAGTAAAAAAATAAATAAACAAATGAATATACAGAAACATTAATAAGTAAGTCTTTCTAGAGAAATTTGGGTTTTAGAAACGATTTGTACTAATTCAGGTTCTAACACGACTCATTCACTGAAGCTTGGGCAGGACACTGACTTTTCTGGGTCCTGGTCAATGTGTTAAAACCAATGGTTAGATTTCCAGGAACTGTGAGAGCCAGCTGTTCAACACAGCCATTGTTTAAAATTAAACTATAAAAGCTTACCATTAAATAAGTTATATTAAAAACATAAGTAATAAATATTCAAAACTCATCATCACTTCTTAACTATTTTACTACATTTTGCCATCATCTATGCTCTGGAGTTATATTTTTCACATTTGTCTAATGGACAGATTATATAATGGTTTGCTACTGTGCATTCCTTTCCAACTTTGTGTTCAGTAACATCTCGTAGCTTGAAATCAGCCACGGTGGGAGTATTTACATCACAGAAATCAGAGACACCACAAATCAGGGCTTCCCCTGCCCACTCTACCCCAGGGAACTAGATGTTCAACATTTACCTGCTCATATGAGTCTCACGTTCCTTATTTGAAAAATGAGGTGGAAACTACGTTCCATCAACTCACACCCCAATCTAATGGAAATGATCAGAAGAGACAAAAGGGGAAAATCTGCCAAGTTGTCATCCGTGTGTAGAAGCAACCAGTAACATGCCCAGATAGGCAAGGCTTCGAGAAAAGAAGCCTGAAAAAGCCACTGGAAAGTGTGTGTTCTACCAGTGAAAAAAAGAATCAGAAACAAAAACTCCAGAACGAGGACAAAGAAACAAACAGCAAACGTGTCAAGCAGCCCAATGTTTTCCCTCTTCTCTCCTTCCCATGTCTCCATTTTACATTATAGATTATTCCAAACAAAGGATAAACATCGTTCATGTAATAAATGTCATAGCTGCAATTAAAACAATTATTTGAAGTCCCCTCACATATTTAACTGGCTTTAATAGCTCCCAACATAAGAAAAACATTCCCCTGGACAAACAAACAAAAAACAGGCCAACTAGTAACAGACATTTCCATGAAATCTGTAATTAAAGAAACAGAAAAGAAAGAGACCCCTCTATTCAGATAAGACCCAGTAACCTCACAAGATTATTCAGGCATATCCAAAGCATTTGGATCCTGTAATGAAGGGCTATTGTGCAACCCTGAATTAAATACCAACCCAAATCCCAAGTCTAGCTATTTTTGTTAAAGGATTTCCATGCAAACAAATGGTAAAAGAAAACCTTTATTTCAAAGGATCCAGTATTCAT